AGAAATAGGGCATAATGTTACATATCTAAAATCCCAGTTATATGACAGGCTGGAGAAAGCAAAACAAACAAAGGGTTGTTTTGGTAGTTCATAAAAGGACTATTTTTGAAATTAGGCCTACTAATGTAATAGTCTTTTGATAGGACTTTTTAATCCAGAGACTCATCCTTACTTGGGGGCAAATGATGCTATCATATTCTACCTAATATAAGACAATGAGCACCATTATATGAGTATGAAAGAAAAATAAGTCAATTAAAAGGTATCATTCTGATTTCAGAGATTAAATGATGCAAAAATGTTCCCCCCCTCTATTTCATCTCCTTTTTATTATTTAGAATAAGGGTGGGGGCATTATACACCAGGAGTTAGTTCCAGCTACTCAGGAGGCTGAGGCAGGAGAACTGCATGAGCACAGGGGTCTAAAGTCAGCCAAGTCAACCTTATATCAAAAGGGGGCATTAAACAACATGGGAATTTGGGGCCTGGTCAGCTGGCATGCTTTATTGCAGGCTGCCATGCTATTAGCTCCATGCTACATCTTTACTTCCACAGTAGCTGGAGTTCCTCTTCTTGATTTCTTTTGAGTTGCCAGGGTTGTAAACAAGACTTGATTCATATTGGAGTATCCTTCTAAAATCACTTAAGACTCTGTGACATCCTATTGTTGGGCTTCCATCTGCCCTTCAATAATATGTCTTGTGATTCAAATTATAGAAGTCTTCTGATTTTAAAAATCAAGTTTCTGTTTACTTTCCTAATTGTTTTGGGTGATAATTTCCCCTAGAAGAGGACCAAAGCAGCTTTGTTTTGCCTTTGAAACGAAAAGTTTCTCTTAGGCTCTTTTGTACCTCTAACATAACAGAGTACCTAGCACCAAACAGACATGAAGAGCTCAGCCCATCAATGATTTGAATGGTTTAGATGCAGACTAAGCCACTGTAAGCAGAAGACCCCAAAATGTAAGGATTCAAATAAGATAAGTGCCTTTTTAATTTCTCAAAGAGAAGTTCACAGGTAAGCTTAGGGTGAAGAGCTGTCATTAGAACACTAGGTCATTAAGAGACCCAGGTTTCTTCTTTCTCATATTTATTCATTCTTCATATTGTCCTGGTGAAAACTGGCTTATCATAACTCTGTATTTAAGCCATGTGAGCTTAGAAGCAGATCCTTGCCTAGTCAAATTTCAGATGAGACTCTATCTGGGGCCAGCATCCTGACTGTAGTCTCTGAAACCTAAAGGTTAGGCTAAGCTGTGTCCAGACTCCTGGCCTCCAGAAGCTGTAACTGATTAATATAGCATTTTAACCTTCACCATGTAAATCATTAGTAGCTGACAAAAAGTAACTTTTAATTGTATTTTAAAATAAGTACAATTTTCCAGTATAAGGCTAATATAAATTTTGGTAATCTTTTTAGATTTATTTATTGTGTGAAGTATATGCATATGAGTGCATACATGTAAACACGTGTGTATGCACATGGATATGCACCTGAAGGACAAGCATTGACCAAGCATGCCTTCCTCTATTGCTTTCCACCTTTGTTTTTGAGACAGTGTCACTCACTGAACCAGAAGCTCGCTGTTTCAGCTAGACTGCCAGGTCAGCAAGCTCTTCACCAAGAACACATTTGTCTCTGTACCCCCCAGTGGTAGAGTTACTGTCACCATGCACCTGAACCTTATGTGGATCCTAGGGATCCAAACTCAGGCCTTCATGCTAGCACAGCAAACATTTCACTCACTGAACCATTTCAGCAGCTGGATAGCTTTTTGGGTTTAATTATATTAGAGAAATACTGTTTACATCTGTAACTAAACCTAATTCCATATTTGCTAGACTGATCATCCACACTGCTGGTAATATCACAGATCTACACTTTTCCAACCTATCTCTACAATGCAGCTCCTAGATGGAGTATTAGGAGTGCCATAAGCAAAAGTACAAGCCATATGACATTATATACTTTCATTTCAGACTACAGGTTTTCCTTCTAAAAGAATTGTTACACAAAGCAAAACAGGCTCAATGCTAACACTGATTATTTTTGTATATATTTATGTGTCAATACACATTAAAGACCATGACTCAAAATACCTCAAACAGTTTGAGAGGGGTTGCAAGCTAGACAAAATCTGGTGATAGTCCCAGCACTAGGCTTTATGTGTGGGTTTCTGCACAGGCAAAATTTAATTCTCCTGCCTTTGCCTCCCAAGTGCTGAGATTAAAGGCATGCATCACCACCGGCCAGCTGAGACTAAATTTTTAAAAATATTTTTTTATGATGTTGACCTATAAATGTGGCATAATTCTAACTAAAAAGTCCCAAAACATTCTTTAGGAGTAACTGACAAATGGAATGTAAGATTACTGGAAAGTTAAATACATAAGACTATAATTTTAAAAAAGAAAATGTTTTGTCTTGTACATACTAAAAATATGGTAAAAAACACAATAGTTGAAAAAGTATATAAGACCAAAATACTTAGGGAGGATTGTAGTTAAACTGTATTCTTCAAACAAACATGCTCAAGTTCAAGCATTGTTACCTATGAATAAGGCCATATTTTAAAGTAGGATCTTTACAAAGGCAATATAAATTAGGTTATACTGTATAAGACAGTCCCTAATCCAGTGGCCAGCATTCTTATGAGGGAATTTTGGACAGAGACACAGGCAGCAATAACACCATGTAATGACTAAGATTGACAATGGTATGATGTATCTACATGTCTAGGACTGGAATAAGTGATGAAGGATCCCACTTTAAAGCTTCTAGGGACAGGTAGTATTATAGACATATTGGCAGTAGACTTTTGACTTCCCAAACCGAGCTTTCTATTGTTAACTTAACCGTTTGTGCTAATTTGCTATGCCAACCCTCAGAAACTTACATAGCATGTAAAAGACAAACTAAATATGATAAAGTGGTATCTTAAATGAATAGGTAAATAATGGATTTTATTTATTGAATAAATAGGGGTTAGGACAACAGGCTACCTATTTGGTAAGTAAAGTAAAATACAAACATTATACCACAAATTAAAATACCAAGGGGAAGATACATTCAAATGCAAAAACAGAAAAATATAAAACCACCACCAACAAAAATCAAAAGATTATTAGGTCAAAATATAAGAGTTTGTTTTAAAAACAGGGATAGACATTCTAGCCAGAACAAGAAATCCAGAAGACAGGTGTACTAATTTAAAAATAAAAACTCTGCATACATTTAATGTAAGGTATAAAAATCAATGTTTAGCCAGGTGGTGGTGGTGCTCGCCTTTAATCACAGCATTAGGGAGGCAGAAGCAGGCGGATCTCTGTGAGTTTGAGACCAGCTTGGTCTTCAAAGAGAGTTTCAGGATAGCCAGGACTGTTACACAGAGAAACCCTATCTCAAAAAAAGAAAAAAGAAAAAAATCAATGTTTTAAAAAAACTGTATAAAATATTTGGAAAGTTGATAAGAGATATGGGGTTAATGTCCAGATTATATTCAGATACATACAAACCAAAACAGAAATGAATTATCCAAAAGAAGTTCATGCTAAATATAAAACATGAAGACCAACAATATGCAGTTACTAAATCTAATAATCAAATGAGATACAAACTAAAATGAGAAAGTATTAAATACTTAAAGTGGTTCATAAAGACTGTTTACTGATAACACTCCAGTGTGGGATAGGAAATGATCAAACAGGTACTCTTATATGCTGAAACTTTATCAACAGTTTTGGAAGGCTATTTGGTAATGTTTATTGAAATTTAAATGTTCTTAACTTTTGACTCAATGTAACCTTTTCTGTAGTCTAATAAAATATAAGTTTATCAAAACCATGGAAAATTTATATTAAATATATGATATACACAGCATAGAACAGCATGCAACCATTGCAAAAAGATATAACCATTTTAAAAAGAGCTACATCTGTGTATATTATGAAAAGATGTTCAAGACATGTCAGTGAAAAGAGCAAGTTGCAAAATAACTGCCATATGTATCAAATAACAAAATTATAGCTGAGCTGCTGACAATGGACAGATGTCCTGGGGATACTGGAACAACATACTAATTCACTTATACATACTTAATGAGTACTTAAATGTGTGCCATGTTCTAGATGCTGGGGATTCAATATTGAACAACAATTTATAAGGGAGGAAATGGTCAATAATCCACTTTCTGTGTTAAAAGTTTCTTTAAAGTATAGCTTTAATATGTATGTATATATATAAACACACACACACACACACACATACACATACAGAGAGAGAGAGAGAGAGAGAGAGAGAGAGAGAGAGAGAGAGAGAGAGAGAGAGAGAGAGAGAGAGAGAGAGAGAGAGAGAGAGAGAGAGAGAGTGTGTGTGTGTGTGTGTGTGTGTCTAGCCTGGAACTTATTACTAACCCAGCTGGTATCAGACATGTGGTTCTATTGCTTCAATGTCCTTAGAGCTTATTGATAGGCCTGTGCCAGACCCTGTGTTGTCATTCTTTTTAAAGCAAATCTTAAACAGTATTTAGAAATGTCACAGGCATATTGTGTGATAATCTGACTACATTCTGACACTCCCAAAGACTGACAATAAAGTTTGTTTTGAATCAGAGGGCGGAGCTAGCTATTAGATGACCAAAATTAACCAGAGATTTTGGAGGACTGAGGACAGATAGATACAGAAAGTAGTAAGTCAGGACTGAGAGAAGACTCAGCCCTTTTGGATGGAGGAAGGAAAGAGATAGGAGATCAACAAAGGAGATAAGAGTTACTTCTCTACCACTTCTTTGATCATTCAGGTTCTTACCCAGATATCTGACTCCCAAGGTTTTATTTATAAAAATAATTAGATAAACACATCAGCATATTTTGGCAAAACTAATATGAAAGCATCAACAAGTGCCTTATATTGTAAAATGATTGCTTTGCTTAGTTTAAAATTAAGAATATTTTTACAACATCTGGTTTGTCCCTGTGCTTTGTGACACTTATTTTACTTACTGTTTGTGGATTAATCTCCTCCTCTCCCATAGGTTCATCCATAATTTGCTGTCCATTCTGTGAAAAGTACAGCAAGTATACAGTTACAAAAACAGATTTCACATCAAAATTATATGAAGACAGACAAAAAGAAAATAAACCAACAAACTATCAACCCATCATCTAGAAAATCAATACCCCTAAAGGGCTTCAGTGAAGTAGAACCACCATCTAAGAATGCGGGGACAACTTTGCAACAAGTTGTGTTTGAGAAGTTCAGAAGGAATTTAATTATTTGAAACTATCTGAGTATTTTCCATGGAACAAATAAAAAATAACTACCTTTCCAGGTGAGCTCTTATACTTCATAGGTAAATGCATTACAAATGGTCTTAGTCAAGCCTCACCTAACATCATTTATAATACTCTGCACAACAAAACACATTGTAAACTCCAAAGCCATTAATAATTAATCAGAAAAGCCAATTAATTATTGTAGAGAAAACTAAGCTCAATCTCCACATCAAAGTAAGTTCCAGATGGACTAAACATTTAAATGTCAAAAATAAACTAAGTAAGTATTGGAATATGGGTGAGTAATAGTTTCAAGAATAGAAATCATAAAGAAAAAAGTGACACTTGCATCCATGTTATTCTACCAGACACAAAGGATTACAAAAGACAAACTGATTACAAAAAACTAAAGCAACATAACAAAGAGTTGGTATCCTTGATACATAAAGATCTTTGTTTTACAAACCTGTAAGAAAAAACGATGAACCTCAACAGAAATGAGCAATAAGGGAAAAAAGAATTCAGCCTTAGTGCCAGTCACAGGAATGCATTTAACCAAAGATACCTTTGCCTTCCAAATCAGTAACAGCTTTAAAAAACCTGAAACTAACACTCAGTGGGAATGGGGAAAGAGCATTCTGGGTTTACTGGTGGAGAAGGTGTAAATCAGCACTCTTTCAGGAAGACAATTTAAGTCTATTAAAAACGAACAAATATCACACATAAAATTTTAGTTTCTCATTCATTCTACTTTTTAAAATAGACAAGTGTACAAAGATGTATATACAAGATGCTCACCATAATTATTTTTCCAAAAAGAACTCCAAATTGGAAACCTAAATTCCTAACAATAGAGAACTAGTTAAATACAGTATGATGCATCCATATAACGGAATACTATGTGATCATTAAATGATAAAAATGCAAATTTATTGATATGGAAGACAATCACATATAATAAGTGAAAAAGCAGTTTACAAAACAATATGGATTGTAACGAACCCATTTTAAACAAATATATACATGTCTTAATGTATATATTTGTATGGGAAAACACTCTGGAAGGATATACATCAAAATGTTAACAGTGGCTATCTCCAGTGGCAGAATTTCAGATGACTTCAACTTTTATTTTGCTTATTTGAATTTTGTAATGTATCTGTAAGTATCTACAATAAATATGTATTATTTGTGTAACTGAAAAATAAAACAGTAGGGAGTGGTGACCCATGTTTATAGTCCCAGAACCTGGGATCTTGAGGCAGGGGTCTGTAAATTTGAGGCCAGCCTGAGGTATATAGCAAATCCATATCTCAAAGAAACAAAAACAAAACCTTAAAACAATGGAACTTAGGAATATAAAGGGTCTTCTTTTAGTCCCTCAGTGGACAAAAGCACTCTAACTCCTTGTTGATTCAACAAATGTACCACTTTTAGAGCATTATAAATGGGGAAGTAATAAAAGGCAGTCCACAGTATCACATAAGACACATGTTCAGAACTTAAATTCCTGTCTCTCTGCTCTCCCCAGCTCTATTATCATTCATTCATTCTTTATTTGTTCATTTATTCATGCTATGTTCTAGGTGCTGCCCGAAAGATAAATTTAAACATGTCTTTCATCCTAAAATGTCTACTGCTTTAAACAAAGGGCATCTATGTTAGAGGCTGTCTATACAATAACACAAAGGACAAAACTGGTGCCAAAATGCAGGAAGGTGGGGGTAGGGAGTATATGTAAAATAAGATCTTAATTTCCTGACACACTTTCTAAGGCTACAATACCCCTATTTCTGTGGTAAGGGCATCCAAACTATCTTCAAGACACGCCTTTCCTCTAAAAGGTATAACTTTTTATTTGACTGACTTCTGATTGTTTTAATTCAATCCAAGGAAACCTTAGTTTTTAAGGATACTGAGTTGAAGTCAAGTGTGTAGATTCAAAATCCTGTTCTCATACTAGCAATGATGAAGCACTGGGTAAGTTACTTAAACCACATAAGATTTAGCTTTTGTACACAGAAAGTAACAATTTAGAGAGTATTATTCAGAGGATTGTGATGAAAGATAAATATATGAAAACTTAATCTGAGTATTTGACATTTAGTAAACAATCAGATTAGTTATTTTTTATTATGTCCAGATGCAATCATCTCATCTATGGCTGACCAACCTGCTACTTTTCCTGTAATTGCTCCCTTAGTGAATGCCACCATCTAATAATTGTATTTACCTTTCTCTGTTATCTGGATTTTAGAACTCTTGTTCTAACTGGAGGTACATTTATATTTTCAATGGGAATAGAATTTCAGAACCATTAGCTTCTTGTAAGTTTCAATGCATGCAAAACAACTATCACAATTCGATTTTTAAAGACAGCTGGTACAACAGGAACATCACTGAACTTGGAATTGGTAGACCAGCAGTACGGACATAAGAGACCTGGTACTGATAAGCCTCATGATTTGGGGAAGTTGGATTTTCTCTTAACCTATCATTTTCTCTGTTCAGGTGGGGATTATTTGCCCTATCTACTACTCAAAAGGTTATTATTCAGCTCAAAATTGAGATGATTCATAGGAAAGCACTTTATTAACTGTACCAATGTAAAGTACTATTAAGATGAAATAGCTTCATAAGGATAAAATGATACAACATAAAATCCTGCTGATAATCAGTAAGACATTTCAAAAGTTTTCTGTTTCAACTGCATATAATTTATTTAAATTCTTCCTACCCTGTTTTTACCTCTGTTCAAATGTTATCAATATAAGAATGCAGGCTTAGCCGGCGGTGGTAACGCACACCTTTAATCCCAGCACTCAGGAGGCAGAGGCAGGCGATTTCTGTGAGTTTGAGACCAACCTTGTCTACAAGAGCTAGTTCCAGGATAGCCTCCAAAGCCACAGAGTAACCCTGTCTCAACCCCCCCCAAAAGAATGTAGTTTTATCAGGTAGTCCAATACTAGACTGCCTCTGAAAAAATACTGCCTGCTAGACACAATTCCTCATTGTATAGTAATGTTCCTCACTCACAAATTCCACTTGAAGAAGATACTAATAAATGAAGAATAATTTGCCTTTAGATTGCCTGCAAAGTCATTGGAAGCAAATCTATATCCATTCTTATAATGTGCCCAAGTCTTATCTTTTACAGATAACTCAGGTTTCTCCAAATATTTAAGACAGATGAGACTTGTGATCCTATTTGCTGAGCATATTCTTGATTCATCTTAAAGAATAGTATATTGAAACACATGCAAATCAACATTCCAACTCTGGTTTTAAAAATGAAGAAATGTAGACATATCACCTCCCTTTCCTAGATAATAAACTTTCATTAATGCTGTTCACATTTGCAAAATTTTGGGTATGCCTCAACATATTGTTGGCACATACTAAGTTTTCTGTTGATTCAGTCCTTGTCTTTTTTCTAAGTATTTATTTTAGTGGGTATATGTAGGTATATGCAGGTGCCAATAGAGGTCAGAGGTGTTGCATCCCCTGAAATTACAGACAGTTGTGAGCCACCTAACATGGGTGCTAGGAACTGAATGGGTCCTCTGCAAGAAAAAGTCCTCTTAACCACTGATCTAGTTCTCTAGTGCCAACATTTATTTAATTTGCTTTTGGTGGTGGTTACATATGCTATAGTGTGTGTATGAAGGTCAGAGGCAACCTGAGGGAATGGCTTCACTCCTAGTATGTAGGTCCCAGGGACTGAACTAACGTCATGAAGCTTCCAAGCTGCCTTTATGTAGAGATCCATCTAGAGCTCATTTCAACTTTTTTACTTACAGTACAATTTATTATGTGCCAGCAATATGTTGGGGCATACCCAAGATAATGTATCTTTCATCTTGAACCTGTTGTTACTTATTCCCACAGAAAAAGCCTTACTTAAAAAAACTTTGATTCATCTTTTCCCATCTATACTTTTATTGCTACAGTTTCTATTTATTGGAATAGAAAATCTGTAAACCACTTCACTATTTTCAGCTTTATGTCACTCACAAATTTGACAATGTGTTATCTTTTCTGAAATGTTTGACTAATTAATACTGAAGTGAAGCATGATCCCAAAGGTATCCTATTCTCTAGCATAGGCAAATAATCCACTTCTTGCTAAATTTAGGGAAGATTAAACTTTGTACTTCATTATTAAAGTTGGAAAATAGGAAAGCCAATGTTATCCTACACACCAACTTTACAAAACTTTTTCTCTACTAAAAATATCCTTGTTTTAATCAGCCTTTGGTATCATTCATCGAACAAAGATTCAAGCATGATTAAAATGAATATAATGCTATGTTTGCAGTTAAGAAGTTTTTTCCCCTTTGAAAACTGACCTTTGGTTATCACTAGAGACTAGGATAAACAGATGGCCAGTCTGACTCAATGGGGAACTTTCTACAGTTTTTAAAACTAGAGGGATAGGATCTACTAAAGAAGAAAATGGATTTCTTTTATTTTAAGACAATTATAAAAGTGTGTACTGAAGTCAGTCAATACCATTTTTAAATCCTAGCCATGCCCCACACTGGTACCTGAACTATGGGTAACTTCATTAAAAATTTAAGCTGCAGTTTTTCTGCTCATAAGATGTATAATATAATGCCAACCTCACAGGATATTGAATTAGAAGGTTCCGTAACAGGACAGTAAATGCTTCACGTTTTCTTTTGTCTCAAATGATCAAGAAATGTTTCCATTTCTGTAGATAACTTCTGCCTTTCTCACTACTCATGGTGGTCAATTTCCTGCCAAGCAGGATAGAAGAAATCATTCATATGTGTGCTATTTTTCTGTGCAATGTGGCTGAAGAATAAGTATGAAAAAGTTTTAAAGTGAGGCAAATGTATTTATTCTCTCTCATCCTACCAAAATGCCCGCTAGCCAAAAAACCCATAGAGCTTGGCAGATTGCACATATGCAAATACGATGTGAAATACTGGGAAAGGGTAGGAAATGCTAATCATGCTTTACTTTGTTACTTTGAAATGTGCAAAAAGTCACAAATTGGATTAATCTACAATATGGGTCTGATCAGAACAAATCAGATAAAGGAGACTGTTCGCTTCGGGTTCAGCAGGAGTTGTTTTCGAAACAACTTTCAATGTTATATATACAGGGATCACTAGATATTGTCTTTGAGGTGCCATGATGGGCAATTCAAACAGTAATTCTAAATGGAAGTTTCAATACCTCTAAAGTATTCCCAAGTATTTTAAGGGAAATGCTGACAAGTTAAAAATACTATTTTCTTGGTTAAAAATGTTTCACTTTCAGCAACCCTATTATGAAGATTATTGTGCTGCAGTGCATGTCACACCATATATTCCCAGGGTACTGTCTGGTCTCTTTGGAAAAAAAAACATAGGTACGCTTTAAAAAATTCTTTGATTTTCTAACAGGAGATCATCTGGAAGAAGTGTATTAGGACTAAGAAGTGATCTGTGATGGGCTAAATTTGACCTTTACCTTTGTAGGACATACCAACTACTTACACTCTCTCACCTACAGATGAAATGCACATAAGAACACTGGGAGAAAAGGATTACTCATAGAGAATAACAATCTAAAGTAATAAGAAAGGAAGAAGAAAAGGGTCTGGAGCCATAGCATATTAATATAGAGACCCAAGTTGCAGGAAGGAGCAAGGATACACTTAAGAAAACAACCCCAAAACAAAACACTCTCACATTTCTCCAAGTATATCTGCCTTCCAAACTCCCTGATCCTAGCAGTGGTTTTCCTGTTGAAAGTGTAATGTAGCAGAAGTTTCATCATAAAGGTGCTGTGCATGAGGCAACAGAAACCTCTTTCCAACTTTGGTTAAGATACCATTGTATTGTTCAGAATCCAAAGAAGCTTCTATGCAATCACATTGAAACAATAAGAAACAAGCATTTCATATTCTTAATAAGGAATGTATATAATCCTTACCAATGTGACAGGATTAAGAATCAGCTCCTCATTTATCCTAAGGAAATATCAGAGATGTGCATAAAGACTTATGTACAGTGATATTCATTATACTTTAAAATAGAAAACAATCTAAATGACCAACAGGGGACTGGTTAAATAAATCACAATACATCTATTCATATGTAGGAACACTATGCAATGGTTAAAATCAGGGCCTAATGAAAAATTAATGATGCAAATATGCCTGCAATATATTACATTTAAAAGGATATAAAGCTGTAAGTATGATCCCAATTCTGTACCCTCCCTCCCAACATGGGAGCATGTAACTAGCAAAACATAAAATCTTATCAGCGGTTACCTGGGCCATAGGATTTTCTTCTTGGTACTTTTTTTTCAAAATTATATGCATTTATTATGAATTTTTAAAGAGAAAAATAAATAAATGTAATTAGAAAAATTGGTTTATCTTCTAGTTACAGTGCTGTTATGCCTGCTTTATTAGCTTTCTTGCTACCAAAAACTTGCTGGTACCCAGGACTGCTCTATTTTCTAGACTAGGTAGGTATGACGTCTGGCATGTATCTACACTTTTAAGTTTATGAGGGCCCTTTCTTAAGTTTTTATTTGGTTGTTTTTTCTTGGTCCTGTAGTTGTGGCCTCAGAAAATAAGGTTTAGGCCTAGATCCACCTATGTTTTTTGAAGTGTACCCCTAAGGGAAATTCTGTTTATGAAACAAGTTATGTTGGGAGTAAAGAAATGAAAACACAGTAGCAAAAATTAAGTCTGTATTGTGAATAGCAAGTATCAGAGCACACACTGCAGAAAACAGAATCCATGCCACAAAGGACAAACTTGAGTAAATGAAAAAAAAAGAAAGGATTTAAAAACTATGGAAGACAGACAGAAATAATCTATGAATAACAAATATTCCTAAGAAAACAACAGAGCAGATTAATCAATCAAAAGTATAAGAAAACTTTCCAGTTCTGAAAAAAATACCTGAGACTGCAGACTGAGAAGGTTCAACAGAGATCATCAACACCAAGACATGTCCTGGCAAATGTTTTTAAATTTCAAGGATAAAGATATAATCCTATAAGCATACAAGCAGAAAAAATAGGTTATTTCAAAGGTACTAAAATCAAATTGATCTCAGATTTTTCCTCACAATAAAATGCCAGAAGACGATGAAGTAATGACCTACAGAGAGTTAAAAGAAACAGTTAAGATCTAAGGATTTCATACTTCACCCTAGTTTTTCAAGTTCGAAGATCATAGAAAATTATTCTTACATCTGCAAAGTCTTATAAAATGTCACCATCTTGGTAGCATCTTTTAAAAATAAACTCTTCAAAGGTACACTCTAGACAACCATCGGGAGGATAAAGAACTCAGAAGAAGCGTCTATAGACACCAAGTTAATAATCAGGAATAACTGACTAATTTAATTCCACTAAAGGATAATGTAGAAAAATGAATAAATATTGCTGTAAGTATATAAACAATGTAAAAGAAAAAAACTATCTTAAAGAGTTGAGATTTATAACCTCAGACTAAATTAATATTAACTCGTAAGAGGTAGTAGGAGAAGAAAAAATTAATCCTCTATCCTTCTTAAAAGTATATTTAACAACCATTATTTTAGTTTGTATCTAATAAGTTTTGGAATATTTTGAAATACCACAAAATAATAAAAACAGATATTACTGTCTGAATCACTAAAGAATGTGCTATGTGGCTGATACACCTGGTAGTCCTTTATGCTGACATCATATTCAACCCTAAGAATATGAGGTAGTAATTACCCATATTTCACAGCTGAGGAAACCAAAGCATAGCAAATAGATTAGTGAATAGCAACAATAGGACTCAAACCCAGATCTTTTCAGCTCAGTAAGTCTTTCGTTTATCTTTCACAATTGTCCCAAAGAAAGGATTCCATATAGCAGAAGAAAAAAATTCTCAAGGAAATAACACAAAATGACAGGAACCGTTTTAAAGGTGATATAAGAAATGTCAAGTGTCTATTTAAAGTGAGTAGTATTTGATGTTATTGGAGCCTGTTGTTTGAACTGCTAGAGGCAGACCTCACACAAGCTAGACAAATATTCTACCATTAGGCAATATCTGTAGTCCTATTCTGTTTGGAGACAGGGTCTCATTAAGTTGCCAGGTCTGGACTTGAACCCATCCTACAGCTTGGGCAAGCTTGTACTTGCAATCCTCCTCCTGCCTCAGCCTCCCAAGTGGCTGAGCTTTACAGGATTGAACCATCAGCCCCAGAATTATTCTCATGTGTGATAATAGTACAACAGCTAAGTGTTTTAAGTCTTTATTTTTGAAGAAATATGATGCAAATATTTACATTGGAGTTGACTCATCTACGATTAGCTTCAAAAGAATTCACTGAATGAGATGGGGCAAGGAAGTATGTGCAGGGCAGTGTGTGGGAGGAGAAGCAGCAGGAATAAAATAGTGGGTCATGAATTAGTACTTTTGAGGCTTTATTCTTAGAAAATGGTGCTTGTCCATGCTACTTTCACACTAAAACTTTCAGTAGGCTTACATTTTTTGAGAAGGATAAAAAAAGTCCATTATTTACTGTTAAAGAAAAGAAGAAACTATAGAAAACCATGTAGAAAGCGAAAGCATGCAACTAATTTCTGCAGTTCCAGGAATTGAACCCAGGCCTTTACTCATGGTAAGCAAGTGTTTTAACACTTAACTATATCATCTCCAAGCTCTACTTTGTACAATTAATTTACATTTTTAAATAAAATGGAAGCAAGTGTTTATAATATTAATACTGAACATAAAATATATGACAAAGAACCTTTAAGGTGATCACAAAGGTAATTTGGACTAAAGATACCAGTAATGAATCCATAGTAATAATGGTTGCTATTAATTACTGAGCTCTTGACCATTAGGCAAATACTAGATGTTATTATCTCTGATTCTTCTACTAACTTTAAGAGACACTGTCATCAATTTACAAATGAAAAATTAAGTCAAGATGGATTTGTAAATAGTTTTAGTGTAGTCTCAGCAAAATGCCTGGCACATAGTACATGCTCAATAAATATTTGGTGAGCACATGAAAAAGTCCAATAACCTGTCCAAGGATAAAATGTACGGTCCACATTTAGACTCAAATATAAATCTAACCCTCTATTTCTTAATCACAAATAATATTTTAATAATGCTTCATTATAGCAAGAGTAGTGATATATAATTCCTTCGGTGCTTGTTTATTTTTCAGGTTTTACATAGTTAGCATGTGGTACTTTTAGACACAAAAATAATCCAATAGTAACTATGTAAAAGTACTGAACATTTAGCCACAGACACAACACAAACCACAAAAGCAGATGTATTAGGAATATAACATGAAATAAATGGAAACAAGGGAGATATGGGAACTTTAACATGAGTATCAACTAACATAAAAATAGAAAAAGGACAAATTGTTATAATTTATACTAGAATAGGTAAATGCTACATTTTAGAAAGAATAAAATATAAAAGATTAAGGACTCAAATATCTTTTAAAAACTGACTGTGTTCTAAGGCATAAAATAAATGTTAAAATATTTAATATTGTATTTTTTTATTTGTAATTACTTATATATGAGCCGGAGTTACAAGAGATTGTGAGCACCCTAATAATAGGTGCTAGGAACTGAATGAACTTGGGTCCTCTAAGCCATATATAGCCTCTAAAATAGTGTGTGTGTGTGTGTGTGTGTGTGTGTGTGTGTGTGTGTGTGTGTGTGTGAGACATGCCATGGCACATGCATGGAGATCAAAGGACAACCTGTGGGAATTCAATTTCTCCTTCGACTATGTTGGTCTCAGGGATCAGACTTAGGTTGTTAGGCGTGTGATGAGCATTGTTACCCAATGAGCCATCTCAAGGGCACTAAATCTAAAACTACCAAAAGCAGGAATTATATATTATCCCTAATTATGATGAATTAAACAAGGAAAATAAACTATAGCAACCACTCAAAAATTAATTTTCTTTTAAATAACCATTGGTTAAGGAAATAAATAATAGCAACTATTACTTAGTCACTACTTCTGCCTATCTTTTAAATTATAGTGCTCAATCTCATATTCTATAATTTATTTCCAATTATTAATAAACCATGAGGTATGCTGTTATGCATAGTTAGAGATGAATGGAGGTTGAGAGTATTTTGTTCATGATCACAGCTACATTTTGTAAATAAGTGAACCAAAGTCAAAATGTAAAGTACCCACTAAGTACACTTAGAAATACCATTCTAACACGGTTAGAGTTGATGGCCAGGTATGCTAATTTATCTCTTTGCATAATATAATATGCAAATATATAATATAATAAAAGTGGGGAAAACCAGAGTTCTTTCATACAACATGTTCTGAAAATATTCACTTTATAAATACACTTTAATAAGGGTATGATTAATTTTTTCTAACATTTTATTGGCTGAATATATTATCTCCTGTGAAGTTTTTATAAACTATTCTCAATAGGGCCATGAAAAAAGAAAGATAAGACACAACATAGATAAAGGAAGGAATCAAAAGTAATTATGATTTGCTGTCCATTTCTAAAAAGCAGTGTGACCCTGGAAAAGTCACTTGGGGGGAGTAGTTACCTACAATCCTCAGAGTGCTATGGCACTTTGGTCAGTTTAGATTTGAGAATCTGCCAGACTGTGGGTAAGCCCCTAAGTCTGAGAGCTCCCTTATCTTGAAAATGTTAAACTTCTTTGATTTTAAAAATTAAGTTTTAGATTAAGATTATTTAAGATTGTGTTTTGTATTTCACTTGAGGAAGTTACCAATTCTCTGCTTAAAGGTATTTTATATTTCTAAGTGTAATTCTTACATTTGTATACAGAATAGTTTTATTCATATCTATCAGTGGTGCATTTTGCTCCCTAGTGTAAAGAAAGATAATGCCAAAGAATGGATGAAACAGATGTTGTCACCTAAAAGTAAAAGAAAATATGGGTTTTTTTTTTACAGATTAAGGACTCTAATGCAATCTTCTAATTTCTACAATCCAATCTTACAGTATTTTACCAGCAGAGAAACTCGTGTAGTGCCAACTTTTAAAATAGTTGCTATGTAGATTCCTAACTCTATTCCTGTCTCCCAAGCCCTACTTCTTTTTAATAGATGGTATGTTTCCAATCCCCACACAATGACCAGAATTACTTGAGTTTTCTGTTAACACGCAGTTGTAGGTAGAGTGCTTGCCTGGCCCCTGTGAGGCCCTGTATTCAGTTTCTAGTAACACAAACACAATACAAAATAAAATTATCTGGACTTCCTCCACACAGAAACAAAATCAGATTTCCAGAAATTCCGTGGCTTAGTATGTATTTCTTAAGGGCATGTTGGATAACTCCTGGGAAACCAGTGTAGTAAAGATCATGAGCTGTGATGTCTGCCATATCAAGTTGCAAAACCTGGCTTGCTCTAAGGTGTCTTTGGTCAAGTGATTTACCTCAGCTTTCCAATCCAAACTCAGATACTCAATCCACCAGAAGCTGTGATAAATTCAGTATAACTATACGGGATAGTCAGTAAATTTTAACTTCTCTTTTCCTATGTTCACCTTTTGGGGCAAAGAGCATATGAGGAGCTTTAGAGGAGTTCCCTGTCCTAAGAGTGCCCTTCCATTTTCAGAGCTAAAAATACAAAACTGGATAACTTATGTATTGTTTGGGTTAATTAATTCAGATTTATTTAAGTCAATTTCAAGAGGTTCAAATGCAAAATACCATCATGCTGGCTGCAAAGGCCAAACTTTTATTTTGGCATTATCATGGAAAAATCACTTGGACCTCCATTTTTACATTTCTATTATGCTTTTTCCTAAACATTTTCATAAAAATTACTTTATTTTGTAGTTTTACCCAAAATATACCCCCCATACACAACTGAATTAATCTAGAACTCATTTTTCAAACAAATTCTTATTTTTTCAAAATTCATTTAAAAATGAATTTAAATTGCTTTAAAAGAAAGTGGTATCTCTTCCGTTTAGATTTTAACTGAGATGTTTAAGGTCAGAGCTCTTCCTCAGTATTTGGT